TAAACCCTAAAACCTATAAACCCTGAGTTCCATTGCTTACCGAGTCTCCAAGGCTCGCTCGCGATTCGCCTGGCGAAACGTTTCAAGTGCCATGCTATGGCTGTTTGGGTCATATCTGCAATGAGATATTACATGATCTACAGTGTATATTATATAATCCTATATGAATATGTGTACGTGTGTATCTTATCTGCTACAGTATGAGATGCTGCATGATCTATATTGTATAGTTATATTATGCAGATGTTTGCACCTTGTTCTTGCAGATGCGAGAGCACGAGTGGCTGAGAGGCTTCGACGCCAATACTAGAGACCAAGAGCCTACAAGCGAGAAACTACGAAAATGCAGCTTCGGGATTCCTGCCTTGATACGCTCCTTCATCGCCTCGTCCGGCGAGACGGTCCTGTCTTGCACCTGCGGTTCTTCGGCATCCGAGGCTCATAATGACGACTGCCCTTGCAGACGGCAACGGCCACAGCTGCCCGGTAGTGCGCATGGCTCGGCCACTTGTGTCACTGTGCTCTGAATTTTCGAAGTCTACCACTGCGCAAAATACGTATCCAGCATGGGTCGACATGCCAACTCACCTACAAGTGAAAACTGGACAGGCTGTATCAGGTACTCCGGGCCAGACTGACTGACAGGCTGGCATAGGTTGGCGTCAAAGGGCCTCCAACATTAGAAGCCTACAGTAGGGAAGGCACTGGCAAAGTCTTCCACCTGGCCCTTCAACTCCAGGAGCTTTCCAGGAGGACTCTCCGCAAGCACGCGCTTGAAGTCCACCAGCTTGGGTCCACTCTGCTTCTGCACCTCAGCTGCAACATCTACTGCTCCGCCAATGAACTCACCGATCTTGACGAAGTCATCCTCCATCAATCCTCTTGAAGTCATGGCAGGAGCACCCACACGAAGGCCGTTGGGGTTCATGGCGCTCTTGTCTCCGGGGATGGTGTTCTTGTTCAAGACAATGGAGGCCATCTCACACACTGCCTCAGCCTTTGAACCGTTGACACCCTTGGACCGCAAGTCAATCAACACCAAGTGGTTGTCAGTGCCACCGGAAACCAAGTTGAAGTTGCATCGCTGAAGGGACTCGCCCAGAGCTTTGGAATTCTTCATGACTTGCTGGATGTAGGTCTTGAACTCAGGCTCACTAGCCTGCTTCAGCGCCACGGCCAGTGATGTGATGCTCTGGTTGTGAGGGCCACCCTGGAGTCCAGGAAACACAGCCGCATTGATCCGATCCTCTAAGTCGTACATGATCGGGTTTCCTTTCTTGTCCACTCCACGCTGGCCCTTACGGTAGAAGATCATAGCTCCGCGGGGTCCACGCAGGGACTTGTGAGTGGTCGTGGTGACGACATCAGCATACTCGAAAGGAGATGGAATGGCAGCTCCGGCCACAAGGCCAGAAATGTGAGCCATGTCTGCCAAGAGGTATGCTCCAACCTTGTCCGCAATCTGGCGCATGCGGCCATAATCAATCAGCCTCGAGTAGGCGCTGGTTCCCGCAATGAGGATCTTGGGACGGATTCGCATGGCGAACTTTTCGCACTCGTCGTAGTCAATGAGCCCTGTCTCCTCGTTCAGGCGGTACGGAATGGACTCGAAGTACTTTGACACCATGGAGATCTTCTTTGTGTCTGTCTGATATCCATGGGACAAGTGGCCACCATGTGGCAAGTCCAAGCCCATGATGCGGTCGTGCACATCGCAGAGAGCTGTGAACACCTGGAAGTTGGCAGGTGAGCCGCTAAGCGATTGAACGTTCACGCCCCACTCTTTGGCATCCAGGCGGAAGCTTGAAAGGGCCCTCTGTTGGCAGAGCCTCTCTGCCTTGTCGATGAACTCGTTTCCGCCATAGTACCTGGCCCCTGGGTATCCCTCGGAGTACTTGTTGACCATGACCGAGCCAACAGCTTCCAACACTGGAAGCGGAGCAAAGTTTTCAGATGCGATCAAATTGACGCACCTCCTCTGCCGGTCCTTCTCAGACTCGATGATGCCGTGAACCTCTGGGTCGATCTCCTTCAACGGCGTGTTGAGGCGCATGGCTTCGACGGTGATGCTGCGGCCTGCTGGGATCAGGCGGGATGCCTGCCTCCAGCATGAGCGAACAGCACCTACGGCGTGCATGGCGGCAGAGCAGAAGAGGCGACGACTTCCTGACCTTGCCTTGAGGCTGAGAAACACTCCGGCGAATGCACACTTCGACTTGAGCTTCTCGAGACTCTGACTCATTAGATTCCCATGTCCTGATCTTCAGCCTTGAGACACAGAAAGATTCGCCCCACCCCACAGCTCCGCTGCCTGGGTCGAGGAAGCCTCCGTCATCTCACTCATGTCTCGGGCCTCGTCTTCACACTTTTACGCTCACGTGGGGCTTTCCGAAAATAGGTGACCCGAATATAGTACCCTAAACAGTAGGATCCTTAAATATAGGAACTCCAAAACAAGGCATCCCTCAATTTCGGAAACTCCTACTTCTCGTCTTGTTCTCTGGAACTCTTGGAGCCGCACTAGGCCGCAGCCCCGACAGAAGCTTGTGTCATGCGCATCATAAACTTTACCACCTCGGCTGTGGTCAACGTAGTTTCAGCTCTGATTCATGGCCGCATGTGTTTTCACATGGGCATTGCGCAGAGCTCTCAGTTTGAACCTTGAACTGCTGAAGTAGTCGGGTCGCAGTTGGGACAGGCTGGCGCCGCATGGACGGCGGCTTCTTCTTCCTGAGATATTCAGGAGGCTCGGCCAGCCCCTCTCTCTCATAATCTGATATTGCCGTTCTGGCCTGGTTGTTGTCGTCCTCGGTCGGCTTCGTCACAGTCTCTATGACCTTCAAGCTGTCCTTCCAACAGGGCGTATTCGGTACTACGCTGAATTCTGCTGAAACACTTGCTGTGCCAGAAGTCAGCTGCGCCGCGCCTGTGCGGACAACTGCACTACAGGTCCGTCAGCACGCTTCTGCTCGACCTCTCAGAATTCAAGACTGCACTGGTCAAACATGCAAGCTCCGCCCGAGAATCCATCTCAGGCATGTCAGAACCTGCTGTAGTATATGTAACAGGAAGCTATCTAGTTTGCGGATTGGGATGACGGATGGCACCTCTCCCTTCATCGGCGCATCCTCGGCGACTGGTGGAGGAGCCTGGATCCGCGGCGCCAGAATCTCAGAAGGCGGAATCCTTTTTTCGGACAAGCCCAGGCCTCAGACTTCTCTGGAGTGATCGGCTCCTCCGTCCTCTGGCTTTTGGGTGGAGTTGACGGACCTTAAGCTGAACAGAGAGAGGGCTTGAAGAGGAGTGGATATTGTGGATGCGTGCTTTCCTTCGCTGGGTGCGAGGCCACCCGTCTCCAGAATGCGGCACTTGGCCTTGTTGACGAGCCCATCGCACTCACGCAGAGTGGTCCTGCCCCAATCTTGGCGCATGCAAATCTTCCGTTGCCACGGTGTGCTGCATTGTCTGCTTGACTTCCTACATAATTACAGCATATCTCAAAGCTCACCGAATGCCTAGTTACAAAATGTGGCCTTTGCATGCAATAGCACTGCAGCAGTGAGGCTCGGCAGACAAGTTGCAAGAGGATCTGCGCATCCACGTTGAGAGCAGCCTCCGACACACAAAATCTGAACATCCCGAAGTACTCCTGTTTAAGTCTTGTCTTGTCGCAGGCGAAGGCACGATCTCGGGACGTAGGCGAAGATTGCGAAGCGCTGTCGACAATCCAACTTCTTCCGCCAGTTTAAGTACCTCCGTCAGCTGCACATGCGCATTTCACACGATTTCACGAAGCTGCCGCCGCCCAGACGCACAAGTGCGGGTCTGAGTGTTTGCGAACCCCCCAGCACTCGTGCAAGTAGTATTGGCGCTAACGTGCTGGATTGACTTTGTTGAATTTTTCGGATACAGTAAGGGCCATCACGTGGCAAGCGCGTGCTTCGACCGGGGCTGGGAACAACGTGGTGGGCCTGTCCTCTGTTGTTCCTCCTTCTGACCCTGATTCGCCTAACAAGTAATCTTCTGGCCTATACTCAAGAGTTTCTGCCGCTGCTAACCTGGTCCAGCCCCGTGCTAAGTTACCTAAACCCACGCTGTATGATCTGTATGACACGGCCCTTCCATTGGAGCCTTCCGCACCCGGGGGTGTATTGGAGTCATGCTTCTCTCTCCTAGCGTTGGAATGCTTTGGAGGAAGAGATCCGAAGTCCCTGTCCCTCAGAACACACGATCTCTGGTTCAGCTTCGTGGCACTCTCTAGCGCGTGTACTGCCCGCATAACATACGTATCTCCGCAGATGGCGACAGCCGCCCTAGGCTTGTTCATGTTGTTGAGACCTGTAGAGTTTGGGCACAGCCTCTGGACTCACTTCCGGAAGCGACGAAGGCTTGTCTGCTGCCTTGGGCGGCTTCTCCTGCATCGACCATGCTGGTGTTGCGATTTCAATCCTGTACAGGCAAGCCTGCTGTGCAAGGCTCGAAACACAATTCTACAGTGGCTATCTGGCAGGGGCTGTTAAGATCAAGCAGTTTGGGTCGTCCCTTGGAGCGGCAGAGCTTGCGAAGATGACCACTGAAACAGAAAACAGCCCTCCTGTATCCCTAGCCTGTGCGCTCCCGGTTCCCTACAAGGCTTGGCAAGAGATGAGTTGATTCTTGTAGTGACTCTTTAAGAGACCCTTCTAGTCCCTGTCAAAATAGCTCTATAGCAGAACAAACCCCTGAACCCTATTCGCACTTTTCTAACTGTGCAGGCCCATCTATTGAAACCTCGACAGTCGCAGCAAGCTTTCGATACGGTCCTCCTCGGTGGCAGCTGGTGGCTTTGCTTTCGCTTTCGCCTCTCGTGCCTTGGCCTTGGCGACTGCTTTGGCCTTCGCTTGTGCTTTAGCTTTGGCTTTAGCCTTTGCTTTCGCTTTAGCCAGCATGGACTTCTTCCTCAGGGCAGCCGTGCAGACTCTGGGCAGCCGCGTCGGAATACCAGAAAATGTGTACACAGGTTTCGAAATGAGGCCCAGCTTCGGAGCAGCTCCCTTTGCAGCATCTTCGCCCTGAATCACAGAACCGATGTCGATAGACTTGGGCATGCTATGGCAATCTGTGAGGCAGATGATCTCAAGTATCTCATTGACAACATTTGACAACACAGCTGGTCCACTGTACCCTTAACCCCAAACCCTAAACCCTACTTTTCAGCCGGCTGGTACATCATCTACGGCGGACAGCCCTGGCCACACTGACCTTACTGAACGAGAACATAGATGGCTTTATTTGCAACGCCGAAGCCGCAAAGGGCGCAAGTTCCGTGGCTCCTTCTCCTTCCGCTGACGCTTGCGGGCTGGCTCAGCTGGCTCGTCATTGTCGGGCCTGCCAGCAGCGAAAAGATAAAGAGGAACAGAGCAAAATGATGGTTTTCATTGATGTCCAATCAAACCGATAACCAGTACTTGTGATACCAATACAAGGCGTGGCTGTATTGCAACAGAAACCTGTGCTCCTGTGACACACAGACCGCGAGCTAGCAGGAACTCAGCTCGTCGCTGGTTCTTCTTTGTTCCCTTTCTCACCTTTCCCTTTGCGATCTTCGCTTCCACCTGAAATGGGACACAGTGCTGGGACCTCCACACTCAATCTCAACCAGAGTCTGCTGGCCTTTGTGTCTTCTTCCATTGCATTTTCAGGCTTCTCAGCTGGGTCCTGGACTCTCGACGCCATGTCCGTGAGGGAGTGATCCAAATTCTAGAGAAACCTGATCGGAAGGGCTTCCCAACATCCCCAACAGACTCCGCGACCCTTCAATCCGAATATGATTGTCCTTGCTGGGCTTCTTCACTTTTCGGCTCTTCTTGGAAGTCTCCACAGTCTCACCCTGAGCTGCCGGTTCATCCACGTGACGCCTACGCGCATGCACTCGTACGTACGTACATACATGCATAACGGCTTATATACCTGCGCACGTTCGTACGCACGCACATGCATGTACCTGTGTGTACATGCGTGCCTGCCTTTACATATGACAAGGTGCATGATTCTGCCACACCTGTAGGCACATGTGTGCACGTGTCTACCATTCGATCAACCTACCTATATAATCATATACATATATACACACACACATACAGATACATACGCACATATTTTAATATATATATATATATATGTATGTATGTATGTATATATATATATACACACATGCACATGCGTATTTATAGAAATAATTATGTATTTACTTGTTTGTTGACTTTGTATTTGTTTTACTTCTGGTTGTGGACATACACATATACACATACATGTAAAGCTGCCTCTATATGTTGAAATATTATACAGATATCCACGAGTATGCCTATCTGCATATAAATAAACAAATAAATAAATAAATATATATATATATACATGTGTATATATGTACATACACGTACATACATATCCATACTAAAACACGTCAGCATGAGAAATCTCTGCAACCGTACCTTGTCTTCGGAGCCATCAGAAGTCTTCGCAGACTTTTTCTGGGACTGCCTGCAGACTGTATTGTCCGCCACACATACGGAAACGGCAAAGGCAAAACCAGTGCGAAGCCGATGAAAGCAAAGGGACTTGGGCTGCTTCACTGTCCGAGCCGGCGGATTGTTGACATACCTCAGGGTTTAGGGCTCAGGGCTTGGGGAAGAGAAGAACCAAGTGAGTTGCTAAAGACGGCCCCAGGCACGCTTCAGCCTCCTCGCGCGTGGCGAAGCTGCGGTACATCGCCTTAAGCTGCCGGGCGGACAGCTGCATGGGGCTGCAATACGACAGGAGCATCTGCAAGAAACATAATTGCAGCAAGGCTCCCCCTTGACGCCGTGTACATGCGGCTTGCACTCTTCCCAGCTCGTGCAAATTCGCTTCACGGGAGCAGCCACCTGAAGCATCAACTGTGCACACACAGAGAGGCTCATCAGCTCATCTTCAGCCCGAGAGGCCCCGTAGAACTTGACGGTGATGCCGGCTCGTTCTTTCAACGAGCGGCTTCCCGGCACCTCGACCAGCTGCATGTCCTTGCTTTGGTCTGGCTCCCACTATTCCATATCGGGGTTGCAAAAATGGCATCGTGCAACGGCTACGGCGGCTACGTCCAGCGGCTCCGGAGACCCCGCGGCCCTTCACTGCAGATCCGTCCTCGTTGTACTCGTAAGCCGGTCCAGTGCTTTCGGCTTGGGCTTCTTTCTCCTTGATACAGATCAATTGGACATTTGTCCTGGCTTAGCTCGTTAGACGCAGCTTGCGGCTACCACTCTCTGCCTGCACGATCTTGGGACTGCAGGAGCCGTCCGGCAGAGACTTGATGGCATCTCTCTCTCTCTCTCTCTCTCTCTCTCGCGGACTCAGAGGTCACTTGATGGCATCTACAATCATCTACACGACACTGACACGGCCAAGTCTCCGTTAGCCACTTCCCCAACCGTTCCATCGGACTTGGCTCCCTCAGCCAGAGACGCTCTGCCACGGCTACAGGAAGCACTGCAAGCCACATCCGTCGAATAGATGAGCTTTGCTTGCTTCAAACACCATAAAAAGGGACTAAACATATTATAGGGGAAATAATATTCTTTCCCCTATAATATGTTTAACACAATAAAAAGGAGACTCTGACGCAGCGAGACTTCCAAGGCAAGCTGCTCCCCTGGCGCAGCCGGCTCTTGGTCCTGTACGGCCTTGATAACCCACTGGCAGTACCTGGAACGAAACTTCGCATGCAATGCAAGATCTGCAATTTTTAACGTTGATCTCTGAAGAGTCTTCTATCGTCCGAACATTATGAAAGGTCAATGCAAAGGCAACTGCCGAGTGGAGCGGACGAAGGCTAGGGTGAGTGAAGTGGCAGCTGCGTTTTGCAAATGCACGCAGGTTTTGGTAAGCAAACGTGATTGATGCAGTGCTCCTTGTATGCTGTGCTCCTTGTATGCTGTGTTGCGAACTGGCCGATGACACATAACCAAAGCCTGCGCTGAACGACGCATGGCAAAGCTCGGTCCACAACGCAAGAAACTATAAAAACTCTGAATTGTGCGTTTACCCTCGGGTGTAACTCTTTATTGCGTGCATTCTTTCTTCTGTCAGTCTGTATTGACTTGAGTTGGTTCATGATTTGTTCTCTTTTTTCCACCAAGCTTCAAGGCGAAACCAGGCTTTCTCTCTCTCTCTACCCTCATGTCTGTCTTATATTTCTGTAGGTATGTATTTCAATCTGTCCTCGTTTCTAGCGTCATGTCGTTATTTATGTTTTGATTTCCTTCTTTCTTTATATTTACTTCTTGTTTACTTCTGTCTTTCTTGTTGATATCGTTATTTCGTTGGCTCTTTCTTCAATTATTTCATGACTTCTGTGCTTCTTTATTTCTGTGATTCCATCTTGTTGTCTTTCGTTCGTTCGTGATTTCAAGTTTTATTTCGTACTTTCCTCCCTTTCGCTCGCCCTGTCTTTCTTTCTTTCTTTCTTGCGCTCCCGTTCATGCGCATCCATTCTGTGCAAGGGCTTCATTGGAACTGGCTTGAAAAATGGACAAGAACGCCCTGTCGCCTGTGGCTGGGTAGCTGAGCATGTTGGAAATTACAAGAACGGTCTAGTGTTTTCCCCACTCGCTGGCGGTTTAGGGTTTAGGGTCGGCGTAAGAAGCTTCGCAAGAACGGACATGGTCATGATGCGGCGGGAATAGCAACAACATGCTACCCAGCATGGCGACCACAGGCAAGAAGCAGAATGAAACCTTCAATGACAACGAAGGAAAACATGACAGCGTTCCTGTTGGTAAACAACCAAGACAGACGAAGAAACAGACCGTCGCCGTCGACTCCTCTCGATGGCCACCACATGCGTTCAGGATCGGTCTCCTATTGCATGTTGAGTAGAGCTTGCGCACTTGGGTTCCTTCTCCCATAGCTCGATGTAGGTCATCTCAGCATGTCTGCGCAGGATGCGAAGGTGCGGGCTGGGCAGAGCTCTGATCGGGATGCTAAACACTGGGATGCACTGCCGTCGCCTTGCCTGCCAAAAGCGACGCCGTCAGCACCAGTAGCACTGGGGGCCTGCATTGGTGCCTGCATCACCGATAGCGGTTACTGCGTCGAAGGTCATTCTTGTCACTGCTACAGTACCATGAACGTGTTACCATGGTGCCCTTGCGTTGGTGTTGCTTCCAGGGTTCGGATTAGTCTTCAGACATGGCCCTAGCGTTGTACATATTGCGGTGGCCGACATGCAAAAGGGGAAGCGGCTTCAGTTGTAGAGCCTCCTTGGGCTGTGCCCCGCAATACACTCTCGATGGTGTTTTCTCCATGGTGTGGAGTCTGCAATTCCGACAGCTACGACCTCATTTTGGTCCAGTATCTCTGGGCTTGCTAACCCTTGCACGAGATTAGCACGAGCTAAGGTGCCATAACGAAGGAAACATGTGTTCACAGACCTCCAAAGACCCGTTTTAAAACCGTTTTCGCGAAGGCCGACTCGAGTTGACAGCAAGATAAGGAAAGAAACTAGTAGCAGCAGTACGGGCTACAATCCATCCGCCAGCACAACCATCGCAAGATGGATGCATCGCCGGCATTCAATGATTAATCTCATTCCTGAACAACGTTGGGGGGGACTCTCCCCAGCAAACTTCTCAGTTCAAGTCAGATGTAGGTATTGCTGGCGTCGCAATGCAGCCGCGGAACATCGTTTGATCATGGACTTGAGCCTCATGTCAAGTCATCATCATCACCACCATGGCCACTGCCAGCATCACCACCATTCCCGCAACAACATCAGGCCTGCATGTTGGCGAGGGCTTGATGGGACCAAGCTTTTGGGCCAAATGGCTACCATGACATCTTTGCAGTCCTGTGATGATTCTTCTGAGAACAGCTGTACAGGATCCCTTGCTGCATCTTGCAAGATCGGCGCGCCTTTCAACTTTCAAGCTTGAGTGGCTCATCGTTCTCTCGTTGCTGAAACACGGTGATGTTGCTCCTGCGCGGGTGCATGCCGAAAGCACAATCGACATTCTAAGGCAAACTCACTTCGAACAACCGGGGCGCACATGGCCGGAAAGAAAGAACTGAGCGCTGGAAAATAGAGACAAGTCTTGTTGAAGGCCAAGGCACGTGTCGCGTTGCCGATGAATGTTGACCTTAACAATCACTCTGCGAAACGGGGTTAGTTGGAACAGCATCAACAGGCGGGTCAGCAGTGATGCAAAAGCATCGGTCATGTCAGCTTCGTGTACGTCTGGCCAAGCAAGCTCTGCGGTAGGGCAGGCGCGAAGCAGTTCATTGCATACTTGATGCCATTTGTGACAGGCTTGGCCTAGCGAACAGGGAGGCGCTGGAAGGTCACGACCTTCATCTTTCACACTCAGGTCACACTGCTCACGCTGATCAGTCGAGTGTGCAGGATTGGGATTTGGGGCCTTATGGGCCCTCTGCATTTCGGCACGTGAGCAACAGAACACAGATATATATATATATATATATATGCATTCCATTACGAGTTACGAAGTGTGGATGCTCACATGGACATCATCAGGCTGTTTGCCGGAGGGAAGCTAGCCGCTAGCTAGCCTGCCAACTTCGAATGGCCGGTAAGTGTTCAGTCAAGGTCAAAACACAAGGCACAACTGCTTTGGGTCCTGACAACGCAGACAGGCAGCGGACAAGACTCAGCTCTCGCAGTAGGCTCGTAATGTAGGAGTCTAGCCGACTCTAATTAGCCAAGAATGCTAGATGAGCTTCTGGACTAGATTGCCAAAGATGCATGTAAACGCATGTGCCCCCTCTTTTATCCCATGATCTCGCGAAGCCCTGCCTCATGCTTCACCCGCATATCGCCTTCGCCATTCGGAAGACGATTTGGCCACATCCTTGTCTCGGGGCTACTTGCACATCTGGTGCACTGCTGTTCATGCAGGGCCATGCAAAGGACTTCCGGTTGCTTCTGTAGCAGTCGTAAGTAATAGTGGGAGTAGGCGCAGGAGTAGCCGTAGTAGTAGTAGTAGTAGTAGTAGTAGTAGTTGTTGTTGTTGTTGTCGTAGTAGTAGTCGTAGTAGTAGTAGTAGTAGTAGTAGTAGCAGCAGTAGTAGCAGTAGTAGTAGTCGTCGTCGTCGTGGTGGTGGTGGTGGCAGCAGTCGTAGTAGAAGTAGAAGTAGAAGTAGAAGTAGAAGTAGAAGTAGAAGTAGAAGTAGTAGTAGTAGTAGTAGTAGTAGTAGTAGTAGTTTTTTTGTCTCCTACATGGCTGAGCGAGTCGCGAAGTAGGGTTTGAAAGGACGAGTAGTAGTAGTAGTAGTAGTAGTAGTAGTAGTAGTAGTAGTAGTACTAGTAGTAGTAGTAGTAGTAGTAGTAGTAGTGGTAGTAGCAGTGGGAGGTAATAGTTCTTTCTAGCAGTAGCCATAGCAGTCGTCGTCGCAGTAGGAGTAGCAATCGTCGTCCCAACAGCTACAGTATCGTCGTCCCAACAGCTATAGTAGTAGTAGGGGCAGTAGCAGTAGCAAACAAACTTAATTCAGCACGCTGAACTCAACGAACAAGCTGAACTTCAGGAATGCGCATAAGGAGTAGGAGTATGAGGAGTAGCAGCTGGTAGTACAGTGTACCGGGAATCTAGAACAATTATGTGGGCAAGTTTGCCAAGCAATCTTGCAATCTTACCCCACTGGCACCTAACACTTGGGCGGGAGCAAGAATGCTAGCAAGCTTGGTCAATCTTGGTCTGAAAGGTAAACTAGTCGACAAGCAAGTGGGGCAAGATGACCAAGCTTGCAAGATGACCAAGAGTGCTAGCAATCTTGCTTTTGACCAAAATTGCCAAGATTATAAAGATGGCACCACAAAATAATTGTTCCACATTCCCGGTGGTAGTGGTAGTAGTCGTCGTCGTCAGTAGTCAGTAGTCAGTACTGGTAGTGGTAGCGGTAGCAGTAGTAGTAGTAGTAGTAGTAGTAGTAGTAGTATAGTAGTAGTATAGTAGTAGTATAGTGGTAGTATAGTAGTAGTATAGTAGTATAGTAGTAGTAGTAGTAGTAGTAGTAGTAGGAGTAGTAGTAGTAGTAGTAGTAGTAGTAGTAGTAGTAGTAGTCTAGTAGTAGTAGTAGGAGTAGGAGTAGGAGTAGGAGTAGGAGTAGAGGAGGAGTAGGAGTAGGAGTAGTAGTAGTAGTAGTAGTAGTAGTAGTAGTAGTAGTGGTAGCAGTGGTAGAAGCATCAGTAGTGGAAGCAGTGGTAGTAGTAGCAGTAGCAGTAGTAGTCGTGGTGGTGGTAGTAGTAGTAGTAGTAGCAGTAGCAGGTGGCAGTGGTAGTGGCAGCGGTAGTAGTGGTAGTGGTGGCGGTGGTGGTAGTAGTAGTAGCAGTAGCAGTATCAGTAGTAGTATCATCGGTAGTAGTTCTAGCAAGGTGCGGTAGCAGCAGCAGTAATTAGCAGCAGAGGCTGCACCAGTAGCAGAATGGAGTCGCGTGTTCTATTGCTCAGAAAGTTCAATGAACAAACTCCAAGTGACAGTGCTGTCAAAGCTGCTGGGCGCACCTTACAGTAGAGCGGCGAACTGCTTCACGCAGTTGTCGTTGTATCCCCGCATGTGCTTGTCCAATGCAGCTGGCCTGGAAGCCAAGGTGGGGGAAGCTGGTCTCCCCACCACCACCTGGCTCAAGGCCTCAAGCTGTCGGCTAGTGAGGGTAAGATCTCCAGGACGTGTGGCTCGTGCGGATCTCTTCGTTCACTCACAATTGCAAGCGGCCCGTGTTTTCCAGGGTGGTGGCATTCGACGCTATGATCTTGATCTAAAGCCCTTTTAAAGCACCCTTGCAAATGGCAGGGACGGGTCTTGAAAATCGAGATGGGCATCTTCACCGAATAACATGTCGAAAGATTGCCCAATCCTGCCAAGTCTGCTCAGGCAACGATTGAACTACAGGTGAGACTGGGTTTATTAACGGCTTACGCCACGAGTCTACGAGTGGAAGTGCCCTTCGGACCCATCCACTTTCGTAAGAAAACAGCCGGTGCAAGTTGTTGGAAGCTATACGGTGACTGGTGTGTCGTGTCCTGTCATCCAACAACCTGAAGCAGCATGGAAAATGATAACATCATCACGCCGTCTCCCGGCTCCAGATTTGCCGACGCTCTCCGAGCGAGTGGCATCGGATCTCGCACCAGAATTCTCGAAGGCGCGATGGGAGCATGCGACGTCAGAAGCTGTACGACTGCGCGGTGCATCACACGCTCTTGTTTCGACACCACTCCGGCTCGTCAGCATCGAGATCGCCATCTTCGACCTCTATGAAGGTGTTGTGCACACTGATCAAACTGCTGAGAGAAAGCGCCGGCGGATTATCCATCGCATCGTCCGCGACTTCAGCAAAGCGCGGGCTGCGGCCCTGCACAGCGCAGCAGCTGAGGCTGGTTCACTCAAGTTGGGGGTAGTAGCACTGGAATTCCTGCTTGGCTTGTTGAGAAGGCACTGCAAGTCCAAAACATGACATCTGCAGCCTATGGTGAAGCATGGCTTGATGCAAAGACATCATGTCATGGTCCAGAAAGAGACCTGTATCAGCAGAGGGTCTCATCTCCGAACATGCCCTGTTTTTCGAAGCACTGGACTTGTTTGATGCCAGCACACATGACGATTGCACGTGTATGAAACGAAAGTAAAAGTACTTGGTATCACCGAAAGATGACTTGAACAGCACGCGCCGCAAATATCCGCAAATGCATCAGGTACGATTTCGAGTGGCATGTTGCCCCGTCAATTTGATAATGCTACAGTCCCTTGCGCCAAAGGCTGGCAGTCCTTCTCAGGCCAAATAAGACGCCCTTTTATGCGTAACTCTAGACTCCAAAACTCCCTAAACCTGAAATCTATCAAAATCCAAATTGGATCCTAACCCTGTGAACCCCTGACCCGGACACCGCCGCCCAAAGGCCTGTAGAACCGTTACAATCGCTTCCCCTGATGCAGTGCCAAAAAAATATCGAATTCAGTCCTTCATTCTAATCCCCTTCGTTTGGCAGGCCGCAAACCCTTCAGTCCTATGTTCCTGCAGTTGCTGCAGCATACAGTTCCCGGGCTGTTCTACACGAACCGTAAGCTCTGAGAGGTAAAGGAACTCAACTCACACGTTCTAGTACACACTCGCTCTTGCAATCGTAAGGTTTCGGATGCCGGGATGATTCCGAAAACTCATTCTGCAAGAGAAAGCGCCAGCTTCGATGCAGGTTAAGCAATAAGTTATATTTGTCTCCAACCTAGCTTTGCGAGAGAGAAAGACAGGGAAAGCTTCGATACGGCTAGCTGCTAGCTGTACACCTGGGCGATCCCGAGCGTCTCTCTCATGTGCCTGTACGGTAGTCTTGGCGCACATTCGGGGCCAAATGCTCCCCGAAATTAGTACTCAGCTTACTATCGGGGTAGACTATTAAATAAGAGAGGGAAGCGATTCTCTCTCTCTCTCTCTCTCTCTTCTTCTTCCACACAGTCAAGAGCACGGCAAGGCACCGCACTCTGCTCTCTCTCTCTCTCTCTCTCTCTCTCTCTCTCGCTCTCTGCCGTCGCATCCAGAGGATCTAGCAGCGTAAGGCAAACGAGTAGTAAGCCTTATTGTAACCTGACTGGAGCCTCTGAGATTGTCGGCGCATGCTTGGAGCTGTTCAACTTCCGGTACGCCGTCTCAGGGGCTCGCAGAGGGTTTGGGGTCTTGGGGATCGGGCCTACGCGAAGAGTGCTAGTATAAGCAAGATGTACAACTCAGAGGTACTTACTCTCAGGGCTTTCGGGATTCGGTGCTTTAAGGTTTGGGCGTTTGTTGGGCTTGAAGGGGTCTTTCCGGATGGAGGCTTCTGTCGACCGAAGAGCGTCCACGGCAAGGAAATGTGTCGGTTCAGGTCTGGGTCTCTTCTGGAGCGGTTTGGATTCAGGGTTCTACCCCTGCACAAGGCCAACATCTGTTCGGTCCTTGTGCACCTTCCAAGCTGCATCGAATCGTGAGGCCAGTGTATTCCACTGGCTTCTCTGGACAACCGCCTGGTATGGGACCAGCAGTGCTCCATCCATGGTGTTGTACACGTGCACCTGTCAAAAGGAAGCAGAAGAATGCTCGGTCACAGAAAATATCAAGAATGTGGATATGACATGTCACTCTCAAGAGACCCTAAAGCGGGGCACAATCATGGAATGCCGTGCAGCCCAGCGTGGCCTCTGAGCAACCGATAGAGATGAGGAACATCTGCAAGAAGCTTGGGAAGTCAAACTCTCCCACCGGGCGGTACCAAGCTGGATACAAAGACTCCTGAGGAGCACTTCGTTGATGCACTGCTGGACTGCACTTCCCTGCCTATTCTAAACTATCAAATCCTTGATGCCCCAAGTTCCTAAACCTTCAACTTCAAACCCTGAAACCCTAAAGGCATAAACCCCAAGTCCTAAGCTTCAAACGAGGATCAGGGCTTCCAGAAGGCAGGTCGAGCACGACCACCGAATGATCCTGGTGGGAGCCAGGCAGGAACGGACTTTTGCTTTCGTAACCTTTTGCGGTGTAGGGTCTAGGGTTTAGGGTTTAGCCGTTGCAAGGACGAGCTCACATTGCAGGGTAACTCCCAAAAGACAGTTAAAAGGTTCGCAGCTTCGCACTTGAAAGCTAACCAAAGTCTACATCTGCTCACGAGATGTGCACTCCCGGCACTTTTTGAGTCGACCTCCAAACAAGGCAAGCTGACACAGCATCACGGTTGGGTTTGTGAGCTTTCCTATCCGCTTCGCTAATTAGGTCCCGCTGCGAGGAAACTGCACCGAAAGACCTGACCAGTGCTACACCCTTTTCTGTCCATCCTCTTCTTCTGCCTCTTGCTACTACTATCACCAGTCACTACGTCGTTACGTATCATAAAGTCCTGCTCAAGATTTATCCTCCGTTTGGCTTTGTTTCAAGGCCACCTCACTGCGACCAACCATGTACTCTGGCGATCTGCAGGGTAACAAAGGCCGCCCCTGCGCAAAGGCGGACTGGCGCAAGCTTCCTATACTCGAGTATAAGCTCGTGAGCTGCTAGCAGCTTCGACTTTACTTACCATTGCGCCATTGGTAGGGTAATGTGCGATGCTTCTCAACATGAGTGCAGGCAACAAAAACGACAAAAGGTCACTTCAGCACGAGAACCAGATCTGAAAGCATGACAGGAGAGCAAAACATGTATGCAACAACCGGCAGGAGGATTCTGTGCGCAGCTCTGTACCGAATGAACTCTCGACACGGCTGTGGTGGTAGAGCATTGAGTGATGCGAGCCGTGAGAGTAAGGCATCCCGCCTGAGGACAAGTGCGGAGTGACAGAATCACGTAGAACTGCTGATCTGCCTGCAGCGGAAGGTCTTGCAGACTCCTGCATGCTGGTCTGGCACTCTTTTCAGCAACCGGCCTCCAAGAGCGTGTCTAAAGATTTCAAGGATGCTGCAGTCTGCCGCACCATGAGCGAGACAGAGTGCGCCTCGTTTCAGATTCATGGACAGGAAATGACAGGAAATCACACAACAAAGCAGGCTGCTGGACCCACACTCAGCAAATACGCCAAGAGTCCATCTGGGCGAGGTGGGCCGACGCCCATGCAGGAAATGCAGCCCCGGCTACAAAGAGTCCCACAGTGCAAAGCATCTGCTGCTCGTCTTCGTGGTCCGGCTCCACAACACTCACCTCAGAAGCACTCATGCTACTGCACCGTTTTTTCGTCATCTGCTTCTCCACGATGATGTTCTGCTACGAGGACGCAAGTTAGCCTGAATAGAAGGTGGCCATAATCTCTTGCTCTGGTGCTCTGAGATGCACTGAAGGCACCATGCACCATCAGAAGGTCACCATCAGCCATGTGGGTGTGGAGCCGGTGCCAGCTTGTACATAAATGCACATAAATGCACACGAGCATTCGACGCAGGAAGCTGTGTCCGACATTTGTTATTGCGCCTGTCCCGTAAGTGGAGCCCATGCACATGTCCATGCCGTCGTGCACAAATAATCAGACTATGTATCTGTTTACATGAGTATGCATCTTCGTACGCATGTTTTCTGGTTTGCTTCTGTTGTGTCTGGGGTCTCCCCAGAGTTGCGGCGTGGAGTTTTGAGGCGAAAAAAATTCTCAAGAGTTTGGGTCAAGTTATGGGGCGCAGCTGCCAAAAAGAGAGCCAAGTTGGACCGAGAAGAACGT